AATGGTTTCTTTGTAAATAAAAATAATATGAATCTAAGTTTAAAGGTGATGTCATTTAAAACAAATATTGCCTTCCCAGAAAACAAATACCAATAGGAAAAAAAAATTAAAAATCATAAAAACATAAAACAAGATAAACAAATCATCTCCAAAACAATAGCATGCTTATACAAAGATTTGTATTTTTCCCATTTTAAAAACAAATTCTGAATATATTAGCTAACTAATTAAAACTTTTATAAATTAGTTGCTATTTAAATTTTATTTTTTAATAAATAAATAAATTTATTACATTTATTTTGTTAAATATTAAAAATTTTAAAAACTTGCTAGTACCAGTTCATATATGTATTATTTATTTTACCATTTGATTAAAAGGTTATTACTAGTATAGATATCTGCTATATGAAGAATTTTATTTTATTTATAAAATTATAAATAAAAGATTTCTTTAAAATTTTTGGAATGTTTCAACTGGTAATGCCATAAAAAATTTATCTGAAAAAGTGCTAATGTTGTTGTCGCTTGATTTTTGATGCAATGTCTATACCACTCACAAAGTCAAAAAAATTGATAAGTTCTGATAAAAGAAGAAACTTCGAAAACTGTGATTTTTTTGAGAGAGTATGTGAAAATATAAAATGACAAAAATTGATTTCTTTTTTTTCTAAAGTTAAGAAATCAAATTTAAAAATAAAAATAAATGTCAAATGGAAGTAAAAGTAACAAAATCTAGAATAGTTTATTCTTTTAGAAAAATGTTTTAAATCTTAAAATTAAAGTTTAAGGTAGTAATTTTGATTTGTTTTCTTTAGATTTGTGATGTTTTGGTTTGGTTAAAAAACACTTTAATTAAAAGTGTTTTTATTATTTATATATTTTAACTAATCAGCTTTGTGGTATTTATATGAGCTTACTTTTCATAAAGAAATTTACATAAGATAAAAGTAATTTTTTTTAAAATAATAATTACTATATTTCTGTGACATAGCTTATATGTGAAATTTTGTCTAAGAGTTAATGAATTATATTTTAAATAAATTCAGTTTATTTAATAACTTCTTAACTGTAATTTATAATTATATCATTGTTTATATTTGTGTAGAGCAGAAAATTAGTTTCTTAATATAGTTTAAGCTGTTTACTTTCTTATCTACTTTTCCATATTTATGGATGAAATTTTTATAATTTTGTAAAATGTTAATAGTTGTGCAGGTTGTCCCCAGAGAAATGTATTCAGGTGTGGTGTATGTTGCATCATATCTTTTGTGTAGAGTTTGATATTTTCTATTCNTATATATATATATATATACTGTAATTTAATTAAATTTTATATCAGGAATTCTTAAATTTATGTATAAATATTTTAAAGCAAGAATTAAAAGCATTAATTTAATTTGAAGATTATTATATGTTTGTATATTAATTTATAGTTAAATTCAATAAAATTATATTAGTTTATAACTTCATAAGAGATATAATCTATAAATTTGATGTTGTTCAATTAATTATACTTTTACAAGCTCAAAATCTTTCATTTAGTGACATTTTCTCATTTTCCTAATAATTTAAAGAGGTTGAAATTTAGGATTCCATTCTGAAAACATAAACTAAATGAATTGTTGGGATTAATAGCAGACTTCTACATTAAAATAGTTAAATTATGCATAAATTTACTTGAGAATTAAACTTGTTATTAAATATAAGTTTCATAGAATATGGTAAAAATTCAAGATAACAACATTTTGAATGTTTTTTGTTGTATGACTGGAAGAATTAATTAATTTAGAGCAGTAAAAGTTTTAGTTTCAAGTTAATTACATTGCTTAACTGGAGTTAGCTTTATTCAGTAAATTCCCATAGGGTTGCTACCTTCTAAATAGTATAAAGTTGCTACTAATTTACAAGCGTGATTTACATTAATCAGAACTGTTGCAGTTTCCCTTCTGTACTATTGCATAATGCTAAGTTAATGTATGATAGATCTATTGAATTTATGATACTGCTAACTAAATTTTGGTTGATAGAAATTGAGGATAGCTCTAATTAGATTTATATCTAGAGATTTTTTTTAATGCAGGGAGAAAATTTTAACTCCTATTTAATGGAAGAGAAATCTGTAAAGTGTCAGAAGCATTTTAAAATAAGAGAAGCTCCATGCTTTAGAGAACAATTCTGAATCTAATTTTCTAGTTTATGTAATGAGTAAAATGACCTTTAAGATTTTGTATTGAAAATATAGAAATAAGGTTATATTAACTGGCGAAAGAAGTAATTTTAGTTGAATGTGTTACAGCTGAAGTACTCTTTTAACAGGGATCGATAGTGAATAATGTAAACGACCTTTTACAGATTCATGTGATTGTAAATGCAGCATGTGATAATTTCAGGAATCTTTGCTTTTAACTTTCAACTCTACATTCTTACTCGTATTTTATTATATAAAACCCCATAATAAATGTATAAAGCTCACTTTTTACTATATTTAATAACATTTTTAACGCTCATTTTTGGTGAAACAAGTGTAGAAAATTAGTTTTTATGACTAGATGCAACGTAATACCTTTTTTTTTGTTACTGTAGAGGTATGCTAGTAAATTATTTTACTAGCGTAAATAAGAATAAATAATTGCTATATCAAAAAATCGTTATTACAACGTTGAATATATATATATTTTGTATAATAATCTATAAAGGGGGAGGAGTTGAGTTTAAAATGGGATGTTGTAAATACAGTAAACTTACAAATAAATTTTTATTGCGGTAGAAGCGTAGAATACGTATTTTTAGGTTAAGGATATATAAAGTGTAATAATAAAGTGTATTAGAAACACCTATTAAATTATTTTCTCGCTACTTTAGAGGCATAAAAAGTACGTATTATTATTACATAGAGCGGATTTTTATGATTACAAGTGATACTATAAACATACGAAAATAATTTTTATTATAAAATAAGCGATAGTAAATAAAATTTTTGTTGGTATAGATGCAGAAAAATGTTCATTTTTAACGCCAGATATTTTTTTAGAGGGTTAAAGAATGTATTTTTAATTATTAACAAGTATAGAATTTAGTGTAAAAGTTTTAAAAATAAATTTTTAAATCGATCTTGGAATTGTTTAAGCGCATTAATTGTTTAGTATATGGCGATGCGGATCTTCTACTACGTTATAAAATATAGAAAATGCGAATATATAAAAAGGATAGTTTTATTTTCCTGTTATTTTTTTTCGATAAAATGCAATTCTCTTTTGTTATATATCGCATTTGCCAGGAAAGAAGACATTTTTTTTCCCTAAAAAATACTCTCTGAAAATGAGGTGCGTCTTATATGTCGATATAAAATATATATACGGGGGGTGCAAAAGTAGGTATACAATTTTTATTATGGAAAAAAACCTTTAGAGAAAAACGTAAAAAACATTCGTATGCGTAAATCACAAATAAGGAATACAACAAAATAAAAGACTAAAAAAAATAATTAATAATGAACTCTTCACTAAACATCTGCATTTCTCAGATTCACAACCATGGGCGTTAGCAGAAAATTTTCTGGGGTGAGACAAATCTTGGAGACAGTTACATCAATAAATTTTATTTATTTAATTAATTTTTGAGGTTTTCTTTTAAGAGACAGGAAATTTTAAGTCAGATAAAGCATCCCATGGTTGAGGAAACAAGGTTCCATATATCAATCACTTTTACGATTATAATTTGGGGTATTTTTTACTCGATCCCCCAGGAAGGACAAGTGCCCCGTTTGCATCCCTCTGACGACGCCCACGTTCACAACTGTTTACCTACTTTTTCAAACCTTTCTGTGTATTATTTTTATTTAGGAGATTTATAGTTACTGTTGTGTGTATTTGAATATTTTTAAATAATAATAATTATTATTATTTTAAAATATTCATGTACAAACAATAATATTTTAAATACAGTACATTTTTTTTTGTATGTAAAATGAATTTGTACGTTAAAAATGAAGTGGAAAAAGTGTTTTACTCTAACAAGACGTGTAAAAAGTAAATTTTAGTTGAAGCTCAGTCGTATTCTTTATATTATTGTGAAGGCACAAAAATACAGTTTTAATACTTAAAACTTCTTATGATTTCCTATTTTATACATTTCTTAAGTGTTTTTTTTTTTCTTCCTTTAAATAAGCGTACAAAGTATTTAACTGGCTGAGGTTATGTCGCTACGGATCGGTATAATGTAAATTTTTGTTACTATAGCGGTATATTAAGCCAACTTTAGAGAAGTTTGTTGAAAGTTGCCGTCACGACCTTCTTGATGATGATGACTAAGTTATGTGGGTAGTTTTTAAGTATCGAATATTTCACGTTTTGGGCGCGGCTAGAAGCGAATATATAGATAATTTCCCGTACTCACTCATTTTACAGATAACCTCTGTTATCTTCTGAATTAGTAGAGCGAGTTTTATCGATTCGTACAAATCTGGATAATCCGAAATCGTTTTCGATGCGGTTTACAAGATACAAACTTCATGCTGATGAACGTTAATGACGTGTCATGCGGTGAAGCCCGCCTTAAGGTCGTTTATGCGCTTATGAATCATTGATTTACAAGCCGTTCAATGCTAATTTTTCGGGCTTTTGTATGTTAATACATTAAAAAAAAATCGTTGTGTATTAATTGATTTAAATATATACTAGTTTTTTTTAATATTTAGACTTTTTTTAGAATAGAAAAGACTTAAAGTGTTTTTTTAGTATAAAAAAATATAAATGCTGATATATAGTTTATAATTATTAAGATTTATTTATTTATAACATGTCTTATAGAAGATTATAATGTCATTTATATTGTATAAGAATTGTTTTAATTGACTTAAGATAATTTAGAAGCTATTTATTATATTTACAATCACTTTTTTTAAAATTATAATTCTGTTGATTAGTATCTTATTAGTATTATTGCATCATTTAATTTAAAATTAGATGATTAAATATATTGCAGAGTTTTAATTTTTTTCGTTGTTTTCTAGGGGTGCTTTCTCCATCGTTAGAAGATGTGTACAGAAATCTACTGGTTTAGAATTTGCTGCAAAAATTATTAATACAAAGAAATTATCATCTAGGGGTCAGTAATTTCTTAATTTTAATTTTTATTTATTTGATATAAATCTGCCTTTGTAGTTTTTAGTAATTTCAAACATTATTTTAATTATATTACTTTAATTGTTATTAAAATGATATATTATTTGGTTTATTCTTTGAATATCAATCTTTAAAAAAAGATATTTCTTTAATTTTTATATATTTCTTATTTATGTACGGCATTAAAATTAAAAATTATTATGAAGTGAAGAATTTAAATAAAAATTAATTAGCTTGTACTTAAAAGTACAATATGTAAAAATAAATTAAATTAAAAAAAATTTATAATGTTACTGTTTGAGTTTATAATTAGATGCATAAGTTAAATATATTTAAGAATAATTTTATAAAATTGCTGATAACAGCAAAAATTCTTTTATTGAAAATAGGAGAAAGTAGCTTAAATAATTGCAAACCAAACTGCTTTCTTCAAAGTTATATTTAAATAATGGTCAGCCATCTTATTTTGCATATTTTAAAATTAAGAAATTAGATTTGAGTGAAACTTTGAGTTAGAAATGAAGAGTTATCTACATAAAAATTTCAATGATTGAATATATTAATGTACTGTATATGTAGTCAAAAATGTAAACTAGTCTGAAATGCATCAGAAATAATGCCAGTTATTTGGTGCAATTCTTATTTAAGAGATAATTTGGGATGTGTTGTAATTAATAGATTTAAATGCTGGGAAGTGGGATAAAAAAAGAATTGATCATTAGTGATAAGTCACTGATTTTCTTTCTCTCTCCTTTTTTTTTTTAATTGTCATTGGATCATTGAAAGGTTCATCAATTGCCTCTTATGTGTAACAATTACCCTACTACAACTGGTAGTCTTTTGGTGAGACCAATTGAACTGAAGAATAGAAACTCTTAATGAGAGTCACTTGTACGGTATATAAAAAAGATTGAACGAATCTAGTAAAAATTTTGGAATTTTTTTGTTTGTCTAACTATTTAACATATGTTTCCTTTGTGTAAATGAATAATGAGCAGTTCCATTAGAGAATGTTCTCTATTAACTTTCATCAAATTTTCTGAATTAACTCTTTAATTACTTCAGTTTTAATGCAATTGTGACTTCCAAAACTGAACTCTCACTAATTAATTTGAAAGAGTCTGATATAACAGAAGTGCTGTCTTTAATTTTTCTTCTTCAGCTTGTTTCGCTTTATTAGGTTTACTGATGACTTTTCTCAATTTATCTGATTTGTAGTCACATCTTTCCTCAACCTCTATTTCTCTGTGTCCGCTTCAACTATATCCATCTACCTTATCCTCGGTCTTTTTTCTACTCTGGTACTTCACTTTCCTCCAATCTCTGTGTTCATGACTTGCCTTCCAAGATAACTTTCATTCCTTCTCATGACCATTGTAGCCTTCTTTCTTGTATTTCGTTGGAAATATCAATTACTTTAACTGTACTTCAAATATACTTATTTCTTATTTGATCAGCTTTTATTACCTCTACATCCATCTAATCATCTTCGTTTCTGCTACTTGTATTCTTAAGTTAGTCTCCTTTAGTGTAAAGATCTGTTGTGTGCAATTAGCCATAATCTATGATACAACTGTCTTTACACTTTCCCCTTCATCGTTACTGGTATAATTGTCTTTAATAATAATAACTATTTTTTCTTTCTGAACAGGTGTGAATGTTTTATAGTTAGTGGTGCAGATACTGAATTGATATAGGAAAATTGTTTTTTATTTTTCTCTACCTGATGTTGAATTATTAAGGAGAAAGGTGTTTTGTTTTCGCTACCAGGACAATTTCTTTATCAGATATTTATTCACTTCTTATTCTCTTTACTTTTGTTTCCAGGATTTTATTATTAATTTTTACAGTTTAAACAACATGTGTTTAGTTAATTTTGTTTTTAATTAAAGTTTTATTTTATTTTTATCATTAACATTAATTATAAAAAAATATACCAGTAGATTTTCAGTAGACTAAACGATACAAAAAATTTTTTAAAATTATATATTTAATTTTTTTTTCTATATATTTATGTAAAATGTTTGATTTTTTTTAATGTTTATTAAATATTCTAGTTAAGTTTGATAAGGAATAATTAAGATTTTAAGCCAATTACTGAGATAAATTTTAACATAATTTTTTTCCTAATTATTCAAAGAAATTAACCATTTTTTTTTTAAAACATACAGTAAAAAATTATTCACAATTAAAGAGATTAGTATGGCTAATTATATAATATATTTCCTTTATTTTCTGTATGGTAACAACATACTTTTGTGTACAATACATAAATATTTTGGAAATAACAATTAGATTTTCAGATTTATGCTAAGTCTATATGAATGAATTTTACACAGAAAAAAATTCCTTTTAGTTTTTATTTTAATTATAAAATTTATCGGATTATATTCCTTTTAATCATAAAAATTGTACCTTTTTTTTCTCTTTTTAATGTAAGAAAGTTTAAAATTAGATAGAATAATCTCCCTCTTTCTTTTTCTTATTTAAAATCTGAAACATTTTATTCCTGGATGACTTAGAATATTAATGGAATTTTTTATTTTTTTCTTTCACTTTTTCTTTTTGAATAACAATAATAAAGATAACAATTTATTGGCATTTCAACCAAGAAAAATTGTTGTAAAATTTCATATTTTTTTTTCTTGTTACACAATGTAATCAAAAGGTTAAGTTGCTCTGCAATTGGTCTGTTTAGATAACAAAAACGGGCCAACGGAACGGAACTACTACTATTTCGAAATTGCACTCATCAGATAAGTAACGATAGCTTTACAACTAAAAAGGTGGAGGAAATTTATCCCCCTTATGCTGATCCCCCTTTACCGAAAGAGTTGAATAGCCAGGAGGAACAGCCAACTTTGTATTTTGGTTCTGCTGCTGCTCGTTATTCTAGACGTTTGTCTTTCTTCCTGTTCGTCAACCTGTCGCCTGGGCTATCATTCTTCTTCCGACACCTTTTATCTATTCAAGAATGCTTTTACACTAACCGATTTTAATTAAAAAACTTATTTAAACCTATATATATAAAGGCGGTATCCGTCTACTTACGCTAACAATCTCGTAACTCAAAAAGTAATTTATTAATCGATCTGATTTTTGTACGAATCGTTTACTGATGATTTTTTGTGGAATTCCAGGTGAAGATTTTTATATATAATTGCCCGATATTAATTAGGAGGAGAAAAAAAAATTGTCTACTCGAAGGACGTCGTTTTGTCGCGTGACGTCATTTATGAGGAATCTGAGCTTGAATTGCTGTTTAAAGAAAGATTACTTGTTTAATTCTCGCATTTATTAATTCCTTTTCCTGTTTAATAAATTGCCTACGAGTAAATCCAACTTTATTAAGTTTCCACTTTATTTTTTCTTATGATATTCGATGTTTATGATTCGCTTTTTATTCCATTTCGTAGAAGAGACGTAGGGGATGTAGTAATAGTGCTTCTCTTGAGAGGTTGACAATTATACTCTCACACACAAATATATATATATATAATGCACATCTATCTGTGCAAGAAATGAAGATATTTCTACATTAAAGTCACGTCTGGTAGAAATGATCGATTCGGAAATGAGTTCCTTTCATATCTGAATGGAATCTTATATAGGTTTCTAATTTAATAAATTTTATGAAGTTTTAATGAAAAGCCATCTTACAATTCCGTTCCGGTTGTATAGTTATTTGATAATTTAATTGATGAAAGTAATTATTTTCTAGAGTTACAACACTAAATTCGCATTGATGTTTTCGTTGATGAAGCTAAAAGGGGTTAAAAATGGCTTCGTAAGAATAAACTGATAAAATTTTAATAATTTATAACACTAAAATTAGCTTTGTTTATTAATTTTATATGCAAATCAAGAATTTCTTAATAGTTAATTCAATTAAAATCTTCGTAATCAGCAGTCTTAAATTGTTGAATGGCCTGAAGTGCATACTGTTTTTGTTAGTTTAAATCACTTTAATGAGTTGTTTGGCTTATACTGTCATTTGCTAAGTGGGGACAACAAGTTAAATAATATATTTTTTAAAAATAAATAATATATCTAACGAAAATATAAACTTATCAGATCAAAAATTCCTTTCTTTCTACCAGCTCAGAGTGAAAAATCACTTTTATTTTGAGATTATACACTTCTGTGATTCTTCATAGTTGGGTAAAAAAACAGCGTGAGATAATTTGTACAATATATTGATGAAATTTAAGCTGATGTTTAAAGAATCTTACTTCACAAAGTGATGAAAATGGTTGAGCAATGGAGAAAATGACCTTGAACACAAAACACCATCTTAAATTCACTCCCGGGTCCCCATTACACTCCCTCTCCGTGGGAGGGTAATGGGGACCTGAGGTTTAAATTTTATATTAAAGTAAAGGAAGTAAATACTGTATAAGGACTCTAATTCGTCGAGGTCAACTGTAATTTGCTCCTTTCGGATGTCCCCGTTCACATATATTTCTTAATTTTCTTATTTTATTTCTTATTGTCATACGTATTAATGTAAATAGACGATAGTTAATTTATTAATTAATTAGAAAAATAAATTTTGATTGTTGTATTTTCTAAAAATGTGTCTTGTAGATTTTGGTAAAAGCATAAGTTATCTAGAAGGTATTAGCTAGATAAGAGAATTAAATAGTTTAGAAAATATAATTCGTTAAAAATTAAGTCATTTTTAATAATGAGTTGTGACATTATACTTTAACACGTTTGAAAATAATAGATTAAAAAAATTTCTCGAATTCAATGAGGACGGAACGAAATTTTATGTACATCAATCTTCCATTAAAAGAAAGCTAAAAGCTAAAAAATCAGATTTAATTAAATCGTTCTTCTACCATACAATCCATTAATCTGCATTACTAATGGCTTGTTTTTGGGTCTGTTACACGTCATAAAAAAATTGATTTATCGAACGGTGTATTCGCTTCCTTATGGATGCGGAAATTCATCTGCTGAGTTATCTATCAAGGTAACAGAGGATGGAGTGATGAGGATCGAAGTACTTGGCTTAATTCCAACTCCCTTCAGATACATATTAAACTATCATTTCTTGAATGCGATGCTGTTGCTTTGTTTCCAGCGAATTACAAATTAAAATTCGAATTTATTTGAATTATTTTATACCGGATAATCGAATTTTGACGCTTTGCTTCTCCGGTTTTACGTCAGAAAATGGGGTTTTAAGGAGTAATTTATTAATTAAATATACCTCTTTTCCTTTCTGTAAACAATATAATTGTTTATGTATCAAATATCATTATTATATAGGGTACTTAATGCTTAATTTTTACTTTTCTGGCTGTTATGTATAACAGAGGGATCGGTCAAAAAATCACCTCCCAATTTTTACATTTTTTGGCTTTTCAAGGCCTTGAAAGCTCGAGATCCATAGATACCAAAAAAAAAATCTCGAGCTTTTTTATGTATGTAGGGATGTTAGTGTGTGTGGTAGGGCACATTTTTTTTTCACCCACTTTGAAGCTTAATAATTCCTGTCTTTTGTCGAAAATTTTTGAAATTTTGCAGGGAGGGTTTGTGTATTAGGTGTCAATGCTATTAAATTTTGGTGGCTAAAGGTCGAGAGGTGGGTGAGATAGAGGAGTGTCGTGAGTCGTATCTCGAGTGGGGTCAGATTTAACGAAGATTTTATTCGTTATCATCATTTACAATTTAAAAAAAAATAAATTTCGTCTTTACTTTCAAAATTAGGCTTTTTACAATTTCATAATATATAAAAAAAGAAGTTTATATTATGAAACTTAAAACCACTTCAAGTATTGTAGTCAGTCTCCTTTCGCAATATGGAGAATGGGACTACGGTGCTTCCGTGGGCATCTTTGAAATATTTTTCTTTTGTGAATTAGTTATCGTTCTCATTTTCTGTTTAAATATTTATTAAATCTTTATGTAAATAACACGCAAAACGAAATTCGATACAGAATATGCCCGTCTGCCGACGATAAAATGGGAATTTTTTCAAATTTGAAGTGATGTGTAGCACCTGTTGGGAGAGTCGAAGCCGAGCAGATGTTTGAAAGATTTACATCCCGGTTGGGAATAGTAGAACAGTTTATTCCTATTCTGTTTGTTGGGTCGGCCACATATATTCCTGCTATTCGTGGCAGTTAAATCGTTCCGGATTGTATATCAGGATGCTAAAAATGAAAAGGATCGCGCATTTATTCAATATATATATACATTTTTCTGTTTATCTTTTGCTCTTACTACACGAAGAACACGCCTTAAATATATACCATTTATTATATATACTGAATATCCGATGATTATTAAAATCAAATTTTGATTAAGAACTGAGGGCATTATATCGAGATTTGATTTGATATATGAAACGCCATAATAAACTCATATAGTGGGAAAGTTTCTGAATTTTTTTCCCTACTTAAATTAGAAAGAAAAATGTAACTCTCTTGAAAAAATTTCGAATTTTGTAGTAGTTATTTTTATAGGAAATTGATGCAGAATAACTCTGCAAAGTGTATTTGTGTGTGTTCTTAAAAATTGATGTTATATCAGACGTGCAAACGTTGATAACTTATTTTTTTATACAGAAATTGTACCAGTTCTCAAGCTTTATTTTTTATTTTTTAGATTTCCAGAAGTTAGAACGTGAAGCTAGAATTTGTCGCAAACTTAACCATCCTAACATTGGTAAGTGACCTTTATAGTTTTTATTTTTAACTTAAAAATTCGATCCATTTTCTTCACACAAAAACGAATTTTATCCCATCTGCTTGTCGTTAGATTTACAATATGAGTTATACTTTATTTTTAAAAATATTTTCCCTTTTTCTTTGCAAGAAATCACAGAAAGTAACGGAAGAATTTTATCGATTAAATAACATTCTAAAAGATTTAATACACTGAATGAATTATTTAACTTGTTTTCGACCACTGAAAAAAAGGAGATAAAACGTTATTTAACTATCTTCCTGTTAGGTGTGTGTGTTTAAGGACGTTTTTCAATTGTGAACAGTGATAAAGAGACGCTTCACACGCCCACAGGATGTCGCGATTCCTTTACTTCTTTCTACTTTTAATGGTTACGTATAGGTCCTGTACATGTTGCAATAGGAGAAACGTGTATAGAATAAGTCACCTCATATCTCAGCATTTATTCTTGGATTTTTGGGAGTATCAGTTCTTGTATAAAACAGTGAAACTTAGGGGTATGGAATAGATAAACGTCTATAGGTCTTGCATGTTGATTCTACATAGATTATACGTTTGAGTGGGTTTTAGTGTTAATATGTTATAACCAATGCTTTAGCTAGCTTTGTATCACGTGTCTTTGTTTGGTTCCTTCAAACGAAGAGATGTCCACTGCACGTACTGTATGTGATTAATTGTACTATACATATAAGGATTTACACACATAATACACTTACTGCAGACCGAATAATCTAAAATAGTCTCTTCCAGCAGATGTATGCTTCTCCACTCATACAGTGGTGTCCTACTCTCTCTATATCGTCAGTGTTGCCTTTACAGTCTGTTTCATTTGAAGGAACCAAATATATTTAATTGATAATTGCGTATAGAATAAGTAGACCATCCTAGAATCCTTAATATCGATCCTTTTTACGTTAAAAACCCTTTAAAGTTGATGAAATGTTAGGATAACTTACAAGCAAGCAAGCTTCTATAAACTCCTAACAGAAGCCTATTGGAAAGGGCGGATTTTTGTGAAGATTCTTCTGTAAATCGGATTGAATTTAATATTGAGTGATGATTTATACGTGAAAATATCTGTTTAATACTTAGAACTTTGAGAGATGGATTATAACTGTAGTAACGCTTCTGCCCTGGATCTTTTCTTGCGTAAAGATCAGTAACAATTCGTATGAAAGCCTAAGGATCGCGTATGGAATAAATAATGACGAAACAGATTTGTTGCAATGTGAAAAGATCCATAAAGAAGGCCTTTCACACGAGAAAGTGGAGGAATCGAGAACAGAATAAGTAACGACGTAGATTCATACGTCCTTAGCTTCCTCCCACGCCCTTTACTATGTACACAAGTTGTTCAAAAGACTCGAAAGATCTTTAAGGTGTGTTGCTTGTTGGCATGGTAACGATTGATTGGATAATTGAACTCTTGGATTCGTTTAAAAGTCGTTTCGATATAACGATCCCATTTGGAAACCTTGAAACTTTCGTACGATAGATGGGGGAAAACACGCACAGACACAAACCGTTTGCTGACGTGACATTTCTTCAGGACATACAACAGATCGTTCGATTTCTCCGAGATATCACTTGGCTTAAACTTATCTGTTGCAACATTACTTGGTAATGAGAATGTGATGGGCGGGAAAAGTCGTTTCCATAAGCTAGAAAATGAGAATAGTAATTCGAGGAGGGGGCATTAATGCATTATTGATGGGGTATTATGTCTTCTCTGATGTAACGTCGTTGAAGAGGTGGAAAATTTTTGCTTTTTTTTCCACAAATATATATATACATATATTTTTTCGGTTACGTTCGATGCCACTCGATTGTGATTTGGTGGGATGCATATTCCAAGGTTTGCGAGTGTGTGTGTTGTCGTCATAGCAACCGACGGTATTCGTAAATGGAAGCTGTCAGCTTCTCTTCCGACATTCAGTTTTTTTTCTTCACCATAAATAAAATCGTATAGCCACCTTTTCATTATCATTATTCCCCCTCTTTTTACATTATTTTATGCGTAAGGAAGCAGGAAACTTGAATGTTTAGTCAATAGATTTGTTGTAAAAATTAGGAAGAATTAATTTTATCGATTTTCTTCGCGTATCTTTTTACGCAATTCAAGAAAGAAAAAAAAAAACTATTTAGGAAATGAGGCGTACGTTTTCTATTCAGAAAATAGATTTATATATAGGCCTATATAAAAGAGATAATCGATCGATTTAAAATGCATTTAAACTCGATTGTTTGGGGAGGGGTTTAAAAAGTTCTTAAAGCTTGCGCCATTTGGTGTAGAACTAATCGCTCGCTCCTTCGACGAGTAGGGGGTGTTTTAACGGGATCAAGCCGGGCTACTGTTTGTTTAATATTAAACTCATCGTAGTCTATGTTTGCTAGATCCTCTTCATCTTTTCTGATCGATCCCATCTACGTTGCTATGGTAACTATAGTGGTATTTTAGCATTCGAATTCTTAGTTTTGCAACACGTATTTTTTTTCGCAGTTTTCCCGTCTTTATAACATCGTTAACAAGAAATTTTTTTTTGTCCATTCTATGCAATTACATCGATCTAAACACGAAAGAGGAGTAAGGCATTTTAGATTCGATACGTCGTCAAATCTTATCGACGTTGTTTGTGAACGGTGCAGCTGATAGAACATTACTCGTGTACATGCTTTAATTTTATACAATTCTCATTCTTAAATGGCCTTTTTTTTTTAAACCCCTCTCCCCCCTATATTTTCTCCTTTCTGCAGATGCTAGGTAATAAGATTTTTCATAGTGTCGTAACGAAAAACGTTACCTAATTAAAGATACACGCAGTAGAAAAGTAGTTTCCCTTGTCGAGACGAAAGAATAATAGGGATGCTGCCAATAATAATTTGTGTAAATAGGATTTCTTTGTTAAGAAATTAGTCGAATAATTGTGTTTTTCTAAACAAAAACACTGACAGATGTTGAAGATAGCCGAGTGTAACTATTTGGGATGGAAAAAGTAAAGTACTTAACGCTAAACAGGAAGACAAATTTGGAATCAAGGCTGGCAGTGAAATAGCAAGATCATGCCAGAACATATTGGAGGAGACAGTAAAACTGTTATGTCTACTTAAGTTTCTGATGGAGTAAAACTTTTACTTTTGTCCTCCTTCTTTTTTTTCTTTTATTGCTCATTTTTCTACATTTCAAATAAAAATCCTAACAACGTTTTTTCTATATTATATCGAGGTTTATGTTACGTGCAACAAAGCGTAACTTCGTACAGTGTGAAAGGACTCTACTAAAAGTTTTTCTTGTTTATACTAAATTTCGTATCGAAGCGGTTTTATATCGATCAAACCTTTCTTTCCTTCTCATAATATTATTTTTACTGAGAATAATTGTTTTAATAGCTTTAAAAAGAAATAAAATAATTTGAATAGTTTCCTCTAGATCGTGCAGTGAAGCAGACTTTGCATAACTCATTGGAGGATATTGTTATAAAATATCCTTTCCTTACTGTAAAGAATCATCGTGAAGTGAAGGAAATGTCAATAAATTATGGAAGATTTCTTCATAAAGTAATTCTAATGACATTTAACAGTTACAGATAGATCTTATCGTAGAGGAGAGCTTAATATTTAACTCTAAGATCGTATAATCAGCAGAATTTCAGAAGGATCAATAGAGATTTAATGGTTTAAACAGAATCATATCTAGAGAGGATCCTTTGTAGTTTTATAGAAGTATATCTTTATAAAGAGGACTTTAAAAATGTTCTAGAAGAATTATAAATATAAACAGATTTTTCTGTCTTATTTTATCCTAATGATTGATGGGAAATTATTAATTTACAAGAAGATTCTGAGATAAATTTAATAGTTTGTAACATGCTAAAGGATAGTATCCTGCATTTAAACGGAATGTTTTCATATTTTACTCAAAGATCTTTTGTAAAATCTTCCATATTCTGCATAAGAAGTTAAAGTAATGCGCTCGTGTTTATGAGTTATTTTATAAAACGTATGGTTTATATCCTTTTATATGGATCCTATATCAACTTTTCTATATATAATAAAAAATACTCCGCTGCAAAGCGTGCAATTTGAATATTTTAATGCTAGAACTTTCAAAATACACACAAAAAAAGGTAATTTTTAATCCTTGAAAGATAAGACATCTTACGAATTTCCTTATCTTATTGAAACTCCTTTATAGAAGAGAAAATCTCGTATATTATATCGTGTGTTGCGAACAATAAAAAAATATTTTTTATTTTTTTTTTATTTTTCCTATTCTGTTGCAGCTGTAGCTGACATAATCCTGTAGTATGATCAACAGCAAAGTACAGATGTGTATAGAAAGAAGTGCTGATTCATAAAAGTTTTATTTCGTAAGAAATAAGATTTTATCTATTCGATATTTTTCTTCTCCTCATCTTTAAGACCACTATTAGATTTTTCTTGTATTTTTTTTTTTTTCCTGGAAGGTTTTTATAGCTTTCGATTTTTTTTTTTAAAGTTATGGCTTAAGATGGTGACTTTATTTGCATTTTTAAGCTTCTAAACCTCACTGAGAGTGTGTATTGCGTATTTAATTGGGTGTTTCGTGACCTTATTTCGTTACAAGAACAGTATTAATGACGTACATACATCATCAGACACGCGATTTCATCTCTTCTGGATGGATTCAATATCGTGGCTAGAAACGTAGGAAAGTGTTTGTTCTATGCAGGGATTTTTTGGGGATTTTAAATCGCAACTTAATTTAAATAGGGATATTTCTGCGATATTAACTTACTTTTTACTAGTTTGTCCAGTCTAATCTTCCTCACTTCTATCGAATTTTATTATTATTTTAACAACATTCAACTCAAGCAGCTTAGTTTCTATTTAAAATTTAATAAACTTCTGGGTTATTTTAGTAAGAAGTTTGACGTTTATTCATTTTTACATACAAAAATCGCATTAGAGTATGATTTCCTATAAAGGTGGGCTTTATAGTG